AACAAGTTTTATTAATTTTTGAAACCAATACACAAACAAACAAAACATAGAATATAAGAACGTACAAGATCTTTTCTGGAAAAAAACAAATAAGGCATCTTATTTAAAAACCAAATAATTCCAAATTATCATATTTCCATACAAGCACAATTTAATATATCTTATCTGTTCAACTTCATATCTTTTCCCAACTTCTCTTTATTCCTCTTTCCTTCTATTCAATTATATTGCTTTGAACTTGAATTATATCTTTTCCTTGTATCCATCTGCCTTATTTACAATTTCATTATTTAATTTTCAAAGACCAACAAAACATAAAAACAACATAAAACCTCCTTTGTGAAAGCTACATCTAAGTTTTGAGAAAACAAAGAAACATTATTTTATACAACATAGTTCTCAATTATCATTTAAGCCCATACATATCTTTTCCAAATTTCTCGTGGTTTCTCCCTAAAATGGTTTGATCTTCTTGTTCTCTTCCGTTTACTCCTTTCAGCCCGGTCCCTAATTTTAGAAGCAGTTTCATTTATCAGGAGCTCAACCTAATTGCAGGAGCTTAACACAGAGCCACCCCCTAGGCTACTTTTAGTTTCGGTTTCCAAACAGGCCTCCTTGGCTGACTTCATATTTGCTAGGCCTATTTTTTTTTATTATTTTTAAAAAACCGACATAGACATACGAAACGAAACAAACCTAAAACCCATCTTCCATTTGATAGACATACGGCGTGTCCGTTGGCAAGCTCTATGCCAGGTCATGAATATAGTCTTGCCGAGACACCAGCCCTCCCGACAGGCATTGGGGTGGGGTCTCTGACTTTGCCCCCCACCCCACCTTTGTTTCCCGCAGGTCTGCCAGAAAGGCAAAATGCACATCTTCAAATACCTCAACGTCCAGGCCTGCGGCAAAGGCAGGCCGGACCTGGCCGAGCTGGCCCACCAGGGACGCCCCACCGGTTTCGGCACGTGGTAAGCGGCCCCCCCGAGGCTGCTCCCCTCCCCACGGAAGGGGCTGCCGGAGGCTCCGGTCTAGAGGGAAGGGCCTTGGGGGTGGGAGGAAGAGGTTGGCCGGAGCCTCACCCTTGCCTTTTCAGCCTCCCGGACGATTTCTACCCGGCGCGGCAACACGGCGGCCTCGACTCGGGCTTCCACAGCGTGGACAGCGGCAGCAAGCGGTGGTCGGGCAACGAGGTATAACCGCGGCGGGTCGAATCGCTTGGCCCTTTTCCCCGGGGGGGGCGGGCTGCCGGGGAGAGACCTTCGGTTTGGTCCTGACTCTGTGTGTGTGTGTGTGGTGCCCCCACACCCTCTCTCTTCCTCAGTCCACCGACGAGTTCTCCGACCTCTCCTTCCGCATCGCCGAGTTGGCCCGCGACCCCAAGCAACTGAGGGAGAAGCGCGGAGGGGCAGGTGAGCGCAGGTGGGGGGGGGAAGGAGGTTACGCGGCCGCCAGCATTGCCGTCGGGCCCACCGGATGCGCGGCGAGGCGTCTGGAGCCCAACTCTCCCTCTCCGTCTCCCCCCACCCTGTCCCAGGCGACGCCGGCGAACTGGAGCAGATTGACTACATCGACAGCAGCGTCAACGGGGAGGAGGAAGAGGAGGAGGAGGATCCATTGGGGGAGGAAGAGGCGACGGGGGGCCCTCTGGCCGGGAGGGCCGGCAAGGCGTGGACTGGCTTTCCGGGGACAGTGCCCCACGAGGTAAGGCACAGCGGTCAGCTAGGCCAAGAAATAGACCCAAAAACTCCGAGGCAAGAAGATTCCTCGAAGAACCACTTTATGGGATATATATATCTCAGGGGGGCTTCCGACTTGGCAAGTTTAAGACTGGTAGGACTTCCAACTGTCCCAGAATCCCTGAGCTGACCTGACTAAAGGAGGAATTCTGGGAGTTGAATCCCACAAGTCTTAAAGCTGTCAAGTTGGAAAAGCATCTGTCTATCTATCTATCTACCTACCTACCTATCTATCTACGCATCTATCTATCTATCTATCTATCTATCTATTGTTATCTATCTATCTA